AGTCTTTACTCTTATAAAAAAAAAAAACGTACTGAAATTTATTAAAATAATTAATTTCACTCAAGCATTACTGAAAGTGAAGCTCAAATGAGCTGAATTCTAGTTCCCAGCATGCTTTTCTGCAGTCTCTGTAAGTAGAGTAGATGTTGAAATCAAATGTTATTTTATGTGTTTTGGCATGTATTTGTGGGGAGATCTGTTAGTGTTTAATGATCTTTTATGATAGGATTTAAAAGTGCTTCTGTTATGTCTGACTTTTTGGGGGGTTACCATTGTGGTGAAATCGACTATTTACATTTGTTGAACCTTTGCTAGCACATGACCAGCATAAACCAGCAAAAGGACCAGTTTAAACCAGCAAAGGACCAGCATAAACCAGCAAAGGACCAGCTTAAACCAGCATCCCAGCGTCAAAACATACCTAACCAGCATATGCTCGCCATTGTTGTTGATTGTTGATGCAACTTTTTTTTTTTTTTCCTGGAACATTAACATAGGCCTATGCACGTTATAGCTAGCTGACTTGACATATTAGCATGTGCCCTAAAACTATATGAGGGTTGAGTTAATGCATCAGAATATGAGGGACCTAATCAATACACAAAATATTTGAATTGTGCATATTTGATTGTATATTAGGAAATATTCTTTGTATAGTGAACTCAGATAAGTTCAAATTACTCATAACTTCTGGTTTCTAAACTTAAATGAATTGAGCCAGTCGGTTTCCTTAATTTAAATGAGTTTTACAGTATATTAGGCTACATATGTGACCCTCCCTGTTGAAAAAACCAGCATATGCTGGTTAGGTATGTTTTGATGCTGGTTTAAGCTGGTCCTTTGCTGGTTTAAACTGGTCCTTTGCTGGTTTATGCTGGTCCTTTTGCTGGTCTATGCTGGTCCTTAAATGAAATTGTAGAATAATACAATTCCTTTCGGTTGGTTATGTCATCTGATTGATTCGCTTTCTCTTTGTCACTCTGTCTGGGATTGGCTTGATATGTATCTGGAATTTGACCTTTCACCCATGACCCCTAACAATGCAATAATCATTCTTTTTTTTTTTGGATAATCTCTTTACCAGCAAGAGGTTCTGCATTCTTTTTGCACTCTGCACTCTTGATCCTGAGGGGGGCGATATTTACACTCCGGGAAAGTGTTAAAGGTGACGATACAAATTACACTCCATTGATAGCATTTGTGGCACGTTTTTCTACAACACTTAAGTTGAAATTTAAAAACACACACACAAAAGCACTTTCTACTTTATACCATAACATTGGTTCTCAACCATTGAGCAAGGCCTCAGGAAACTTAAGGGGCTCACTGGCTGACTTAAATTTTAGTTTTATTGAAATAATTATAATAAATATGCAAAAAAAAAGTAAAATAACGATAACTTTTTATTGAAAATCATACAGAATCAGAGTCTTTACTCTTATAAAAAAAAAAAACGTACTGAAATTTATTAAAATAATTAATTTCACTCAAGCATTACTGAAAGTGAAGCTCAAATGAGCTGATTTCTAGTTCCCAGCATGCTTTGCTGCAGTCTCTGTAAGTAGAGTAGATGTTGAAATCAAATGTTATTTTATGTGTTTTGGCATGTATTTGTGGGGAGATCTGTTAGTGTTTAATGATCTTTTATGATAGGATTTAAAAGTGCTTCTGTTATGTCTGACTTTTTGGGGGGTTACCATTGTGGTGAAATCGACTATTTACATTTGTTGATGCCGCCATTGTTGTTGATTGTTGATGCAACTTTTTTTTTTTTTCCTGGAACATTAACATAGGCCTATGCACGTTATAGCTAGCTGACTTGACATATTAGCATGTGCCCTAAAACTATATGAGGGTTGAGTTAATGCATCAGAATATGAGGGACCTAATCAATACACAAAATATTTGAATTGTGCATATTTGATTGTATATTAGGAAATATTCTTTGTATAGTGAACTCAGATAAGTTCAAATTACTCATAACTTCTGGTTTCTAAACTTAAATGAATTGAGCCAGTCGTAACCAGCATATGCTGGTTTTTTCAACAGGGCTGGACCACAAAACCAGTCATAAGGGTCAATTTAAAAAATTGTCTAAATAAAAATCTAAATATTGAGAAAATTGCCTTTAAAGTTGTCCAAATTAAGTTCTTAGCATTCATAATCAAAAATTAAGTTTTAATATATTTACGGTTGGAAATTTACAAAATATCTTCATGGAACATGATCTTTACTTAATATCCTAATGATTTTTGGCATTAAAGAAAAAGCGATAATTTTGACCCATACAGTGTATTTTGGCTATTGCTACAAATATACCCATGCTACTTATGACTGATTGTGTGGTCCAGGGTCACATATTATATTTACATTAAGAATTTATTTTGATCAGTTGAACTGTTGAAACTAAAACAGTATATATCTCAGGAGCTTTGTGTGTTTTACTTTTCTCTTTTTAGCATTTCAAGTAAAAAAAAAAACTGTGTGTGAGTGAAGAAAAGCAGATTTTTTTATTTACAGTTGTACCTGAGCAGATTTATTTGGCTGCATGGCTGTATTTATTCACGTGTCTTTAGCTTCACATTACACGTTTTTCATCATAACAGGATTTGGGCTGAAACACAGTAGACTCGTCTGCAGCTCGTTAATGAACTCATACGCATCTGCTTAATCTCACGCTGGGCCATCCAGAGCCTAATCTCACTCACACACCCCTCCTTACCTGCACTAATCCCACTCTCAGGGGCGTGAGGAGATCTGCGTCTTTTGTCCTCTGCCCTCCTGCCGTTTCCACACACAAACACACAAAACCCACTCAGCCACACACACAAGCAGCTGTAACGGCTGGAGAGCTTTACAATCACAAAGTACCGTAAAGGAAATCCCAAAGCTCTTTGCAGGACAAAGAGACACTTACTGTTCAGATGGCTAGAAGATCTAGAACTTCAGTTTAAGAAAAATGAAGCCACTTAAAGAGTTAGTTCACCCAAAAATGAAAATTAGCCCATAAATTACTCACCCTCAAGTCATCCTAGGTGTATATGACTTTCTTCTTTCAGACGAATCCAGTCGGAGTTATATTAAAAATTGTCTTTGATCTTTCAAGCTGTTTCATGGCACTCAGCGGGTGTTGCATGCATCAGTCCAAAAGCAGTTAAATAAAATGCGCCCATCCATAAAAAAAAGTGTCTCCCACGGCTCCGGGGGGTGAACAAAGGCCTTCTGTAGCGAATCAATGCATTTTTGTAAGAAAAATATCCATATTCAAAACGTAATAATCGCTTTAATGTAGCTTGCGCTCACTGCTGTAAACGGAAGCAGTTCCGGGGGAATGACGTATGAGGTCAGTGCTGCGCATGCGCCGGCGAGTCTCGTGAAAACCAACGTTTGTTAACAGGAGCAAAGGAAGCAAAGTTTCCTTACTTTAGCAAAGGAAAACCAGTCTCCTCTTGGCTTATATCGAAATCCTCTGACATTCTTCTTTACAAATCCTCGTTTTGTACTTCTAATTAATGACCGTTGTTTTGTTTTGATCTCTCCCCTGCGCTTCCGCGTGTGTCACTTCTGAGCGGCGCATGCGCAGCACTGACCTCATACGTCATTGCCCCGGAACTGCTTCCGTTTACAGCAGTGAGCGCAAGCTACATTAAAGTGATTATTATGTTTTGAATATGGATATTTTTCTTACAAAAATGCATTGATTCGCTACAGAAGGCCTTTGTTCACCCCCCGGAGCCGTGTGAGACACTTTTGTTTTATGGATGGGCGCTTTTTATTTAACAACTTTTGGACTGATGCATGCAACACCCACTGAGTGGCATTAAACAGCTTGAAAGATCAAAGACAATTTATAATATAGCTCCGACTGGATTCGTCTGAAAGAAGAAAATCATATACACCTA